GTCCTCCATCCACATGACAGAGAGGGGAACACAAAAATGAAAATATGGATGGAGGACCTCAGTTTAGCTTGTCTGTTGCGCTAGCGCTGCGCTAATACATATAAGGCAGTATAGTGTTGTCGCTAGTGCGAAGGCTAAGCTCAGGTTCTTCTTCCATGAAGCAGCTCTGTTGTCCTCCATCCATATTTTCAGTTACAGGCTGAGTCATTTCTACCTTCTCCTCTCTGTCAACGCTCTCTCGTTTCATTTAAAAGAGTCGATCATCAGATATTGTCCAAGATTAACCTTCAGGGTGGATATAGCTCAGCTTCTTGTTTTAGTGAAAGGGACTTTAACTAAACTGTCTGAACAGAAAAACTGGTTGTACATGTACAACTGAATAACTTTTGAAGTCATCCCAATTCAAGATGGCTGCCACATAAAAGCAGCCTTTATCAAATGCAAAAATTGCTATAACTCAAGCCAAATTACAGATATTGATCTGAAATTTGGTGTGGTAGTAGCTAACAGTCATTTACAACTCAAGGGCTACTTTCTGAGCAAATCTTTTGCTTAAAACTTTGTCATTGCTTGTTAAAATAAACACTGCTTGTCTGTTAGCAAAATATCTCATGAACCACTGGACAGAGTTTAATGAAATTATCAGAAAATTATTATTGAATCTACATCTACAGCTCATAAACATTTGGAGATGATGTAATTTAAGATGGCTGCCACAGGTAATCGACCTTAGCCAGCACAGTTGTACAGATGTTGAGCTACTTTTAGATTTTGAGTAGCTGAGACTCATTCTCAGCACGTTCTCTGTGAGAGCTCACAATATCGCATGAGAACACACGTAGCACTAACAGGGTTTGTCCGAAGCTGCTCTAACCTCATTCTTTTTCATGTTAAGATTATCTTCGTTGAAATCTCTGGAACAAAAGGTGGTGGACGATAAGTACTAATTATTTACACGCACACAACTCTAAAACCAGTTGTTTTGAACATGATAATTCACATTGCAGTAAGAGAAACAGCCAATGCTTGTGTAAACTAATAAAAACAACAAAAAAACTGTAACAGATTGTTTAAATAAATTTCACATCGGCATTACAGACATGATGGTAATCTGTTTTGTTTATGTAACACCTGCCTGTCAACACTTGATGAATAATGATGAAGTGTGCTGCATTTAACCACTGTTCCAAATGCAAAATCTAAAAAAAAAGAAAAAACGGCCATCCCCTATCTTCAACATTGTCTAACATAAAGTGATCAAAATGGAGTGAAATTTTCAAACACATCCTGAAGGCCCTGCCTCAATGTTTACAACTAATGCTAACTTATTAAAATAATGTCCAACACTAAAGATTATTGAAGATGAAATAAAAAAAAATCTTCTGGAACCCTCTTTTGGATGTATACACATTCATAAGATTAGATTGAATATTTAACCTATATAAAGGACATTTTCACAAGTCGGCATAAGTTTTCTATAACAGTGGTTCACAACCTATTTTCCCCAAAGCCCCTCTTTCTTACTTGCAAGCCAAGCTGAGCCCCACCCAATCTCTCAATCCCTTGCTACTCATGTGTTCAACCTTTATCTCTTCATTAAAATATAAAAAAAATAAAGTGAATAGTTACAAACTTTTATTTTGAAAAGGAAAAAAGTTTGTTACAGGTTTTAAAATCGAAACATCCAATATTTATTACCTGATAAAGTTACTCTATAGCTGGTGAACACAAAGGCCTGCCACACTGTAACACTTTAGACAACTAATGCACACGTATGAAACTTAGTTCAACACTCTGGCATATGTTGAAGATGGATCAGTATTCTGATGATTAATTGTACATGATACAAATTTGCCCACTCTATTTACATAACTTATACAAGCCTATAAGTTATGCTGAACTTATACGTAGCGTGTTGTTGCGTATAGCATTGATCACGACGTGAGACTGGAGCAACTTTCAGCGTATGCCAATGTGTGGGACATTTTTATATACATTGGCACAAGTTGTCTAAACATTATAGGGTGACAGGGTTTTTAATCAGGTCGAGTTTGATCATTGTCCGTATCTTTAAAGGGGCAATATCATGTAAAATCAACTTTTTTGAGTTTTATATCATGTTAAAATGTTATACTCTCATAAAAAAAACCTGCCCAAAGCCTTGCTTTGACTCATTCATGCATGTTTGAGAAATCCTACAGTGTTTTTAGGAAGCCATGCTGAGGAGCAAAACGACAGGTGGGGACCAGAAATGCCTTTGGGGACCAGGAACACCCCTGGGACGTGTCTTTAAGCCGAGCTTCCTCATGGCAGAGCACACCCCCCGCCCATGACTCCTGCAGGCTCTCGGGTGAAACTGAAAGTGAAACTTAAACTGTCTGCTGAGCTCCACTAGTTCTCACTCAGTGAAGCTCTTTTCAGATGAAAAGTACCTTTGAGGAAATGTATTTTCAGATACCAAGTAAACTGCATCATAGCAGCCCCACCCCCAGCACTGAAATGGGTGAGACCGAAGCAGAAGGTGGTTCTTAAAGAGACAGAGGCCATTTTCAAGACGTTTAGAAGAGGAAGTGATGAGAAGATAAGTTTATTTACTGTTTAAACAT